TTTTTTTTTTTTTTTTTTTTTTTTTTTTTTTTTTTTTTTTTTTTTTTTTTTCGAGGATACTGTTGGAAAATATATCTTTTACTTCCACCTTTCTTTTTTTTTCATTTGAATGTGAAAATAAAAGTATTTAATCACTGGAATCGCCAACTCTTACGATAAATTGTCGAAAAAGTTGGCGGTTCCGGCGTTTCGACGTATGACTAACAATCCACGACTGACTCTCTGTCTCCGTTTTCTAATCCACCTCTAAAAATCACGCTAGCAGCCGAAGAGGGAAAAAAGAGTGGTCCTGGTACCACCGATGCAGGTCAGAGCGCAAAGCGACAATTTTTTCTCGTATACCTATACTATTATAGCCATGTGTGTGCGCTTGCTTGCTTGTACATTTACATATTCTTTCGTCCTATATGTTCTCGTCGCTTTTGGATGTAGTTTTATACTTTTTTTTTTTTTTTTTTTTTTTTTTTTCCAAAGTAAGACTGACTCACCAGAGTGTCTCGTGTATTTTTGCAAGAGCAAAAAAAAGGTTTTTGTTCATTTTACGAGGTAGTATAGAAAAATTATAATCATTATCAATTGGAATACGTTATTTACAGTTTGAATCTGCATATGGATATTTATAATAATTAATAATACATTTTTTAACACTGTTGAACTGGTTGTTTGTTAACATTGTTGTTGTTGGTACAAGGAAATTTTAATTTGATACAAGTTTTTGTGATTAATACTTCAAATCTGGCACCCGTGCGTGCGTGTTCTCTGTCAGTTACTCCATGAGTGAATTTAATTTTTCTTAATCCCGGGCCGTATCCAGAAAATGTTTCTTTTATCTGCAATTGTTGAGTATATTTTATGCTTTGATTGTCAACGCAACTTCAAATTATGTCAAATTTAGAAATTATAGGTATTGACTTACTTTATACCAAGAAGGGCAGTATGCGGTTTTTGTGGTGTCCTCCATGGTACCGTACGACTTCATAATCTCATCGTTTTCTCTCAACAAGTCAATTCGAAAAAAATAGTAAGTTGAACACCGTTCGAGAGTGTTGTACTTGTCTTTCACCTAAAAAAAAAAAAAAATTCTCGCATAAATTACTTTATACGGGGATAAAACCACCGAAATTGATAACATGATTTCTGAAGCTCTCTTTTTAGGATAATGACGGTATTTTAAATTTATAATAAAACTTGCATTTTTCCAGTAACTGTTACATCTTACTTGCACATTCGTTTACTCTTGGCCCAGAAAACTAACTCTGTTTACAAAAAAGATCATTGACACCACATTTACATAATTAAGTTACCAATACATTATTCAAAGTTATATGTGCAGGAGCTTACGTATAAATTTTTCCACGTACAAGAATTAGCCGGTGATATTCACGCTTTCCATGAATACTGCATTTTTTCTTCAACTTCTACCGTAACTAACGACTAGCACATAACTATCGTTAGAGCATTACAAAAACACCATGTTTCACTAGCTTCCATTATCGTCTCATTTTTATTTTCCTTCAATTAAGATTTAAAACATTTAAAAGCCTTAGCTACTAATTCAGTATATATCCTACATTATACAATAGGTTTACGATTTCCATTCCAGCGTATTCGTCACAAAATAAATAATGATTTTATTTTCCATATTGTTGGTAAGTGCCACGAGAAACCGTTCCAATTCATGCAGCTTTTTTTTTTTTGTCCATCAATAATTATATTTTTTCTTTACCTGAATGGTGGGCTGCACATAGTCCAACAAATCCGCATGAAAGCCTTCATTGATCAAATCCACAACTAGATGTCTTTCCACTCTTGGGTGATGATCGTTACAATCTCCCTCTGACGTGGAGACATCGTTTAACGCTCGATTCAGCGGACGTGGCGTATCCCTCATCATCCGGTCAAAGAACGGATATTTTATCAAGTTACAATTGAACATTTTAGTACTTGTACAATACGTAAGCGAGGAGAACAGGGTCCACGGAGCCGTGCGGTAGCCAAGCAGTGACTGGCCAATCATCACCTCAGCTTTTTTCCTCCACACGTAATTTTTTATCAATTCGTTCCAACTCTTGCACACCAATTGACAGTTGAATAACGCTTTGCAGTCCACTCCGCATAGAATTTGGACGATCAGTTCACCAGGAATATATTTATCTGCAAATATGTGACCGTTGCTGCTCTCTCCACGGTCTTCCAAAACGTAAACTCTTTGCTTTTTACCACCAAACACTTCAATTTCACCCATTTTTTCGCGTGTATGCGATTATCGCAACTTGTACGTATACACTTGCCCAGTATTTTTAATCAGTAAGTATAGCGTCGAACTGCACAATCCGAACGATCGAATTCTTATGGCCCAGAGCGTAATGACTGTGATCTTTGTTGTCGTAGGAAAAGCATCACTCCCGCCCAATGAGTCAATAATTCTTTTCTCTCTCTTCAAAATGGTATGCGTAATACTTTCTCCTACGTTTCTAACCTTTGCAAAGTACAATTGTATTTTACATGAAATTCAACGATTTATTTGTTTAAGAATCAAATTCTCCCATGTTACCTGATGAATAATAAAAAAAAAATAAAAAAAAAATGGATTGATTACACATTTTATCCGTAAATATGATGTGGTTATTCATTGATGACATATATACTACACTATACGCCCGAGGGCGTTCGCATAAGTACAGATAAGATACGACGCATCGGTGACGAAATTTCTTACTTCGTGCCTGGAACACTTAGTACGACTTGAAAGTCCCAATGATATAAAATTAATTTTCATCATTCAAAACATACGCAATTAATATGTTCCAGGTATATTTTAGGCAGGAGGTGTGGAACATTTAATCATTATACATTTTTTTTTTTTTTTTTTTTTTTTCTTTCTTTTTGTCCTCTACCTCCCGCTGTTGTATTTTTGTCCATTCGTTGTTTTATTTACAGGGCCGATGATGAATAAATGGCTCGGCGGGGGTGTCCCTTTGACTTTGTAAGATTTCAGGGGACGCTTTTCATCTGCACGGTATATTTATATGTGTGTCCCGGAAGAGCTTGCGAGCGGGTGCTTTTGCGCTCATCGTGGAAATTCGCGTGTGAGTGGGAAAACCGTAAGGACCCGCCGATGTTTGTTTGGTGCTTTTCTTATTGTTAGCGCATATTGGGTGCGAGTTTTCCCCAAAGCTGAAAAAGCTCCAAACGCGTCGTCGACTGGTCTGGTCGAGTGGCACAGAGAGACCGTGAACTGCGGACCGAGTCGATAAGGACTGTAGGTTCGAAAGACGGGTGAGTTCCCGTGAAGAAAAGTGTGAAAAATGGTAGCTAATGCCGTTGTCTAATGATCATGTGGAGTTGATCAAATCTAATACTTAAATCGACCCTGCTTCCTTTGTTTTTCGTTTGACACTTTTATCGTGCGAAAAGGTGCGATCGAAACGAGGTTTTCAAAATTATTATTGGGATCGTTACATATTATGTTTTGTTTTGGTTAAAAGTACTTGTTTTTTTTTTTTTTTAAATTCGAAACTTTTCAAGTGCCACGAGAGAAAAAAAAAAAAAAAGAATCTCGCGTCAAGTCGACAAGTCTTTGCCCTGCCTCGGCTCTCCGCGTGTGAGAGTGTATCTTTTTCTTTCTCTCCCTTTCTTATTTCGTCTACTGTTCCGACACGCCGAACAGCCCAAAAATAACTTGATGCCCCAGATTTTTTTCCGACTAACTTTCTGCACCCGATTGGTGGTATGGAAGCTCGTAAGGGCCGTACGAGACATACCCAATTAGTAAAGCCCCCGCAAAGCGAGGCTAGGCTTAACGAACTAAATCCAAGGCGTCTCTCGTTGCATGAGATTTTTACATTAAATCGTTGATGTGCACAATAGGTAAGAGCTTTGAGAATTCATACTTGTCTTTTTATGGGTTAAAATCTTGTGTTTTTATTGCATCTCTAAACGTATCGAGATACAATTTTTTGCTCGAGTAATCATTTGCTTATGAGAAAATAAAAATGAAATGAATAAAGTTACGGCAACTTGGTTTATTCGTAACTTGGATAGGGTAAACAACACAAATCCATCAGCAGCTAATTACTCCGTGGATCCAAGTAACTATTTTAAAACTAAACACCGCAATGTTTCATTTCCGTAAGATTTCGAGCACCACCGTTCGCCTGTGAATTTCAAACAGCCGGCGATGAAACACACGTTTTATTTTAAACTTTCGAGTCTTTACTTCCAAGACCCTTGGATAGACCTGCGCCGATTGTACACTGCTGCACGAAAATCATCAAAGCTGCAAAGTACAAAGCAGCCCATAATTATACTCGATCGTCGCGATCGAAGGTCATTTACGAGGCATTCCAGTGCGCGAAACTCGATTGACTCGCGGGTAGCACGAAATAACAAAAGTTCCATCAACACGAGCGAGCATCCAACAAATATTTACGCTCGAATGCGCGAATTTTCGCAATTCTTTGCGTATCTGTGTACTACACTTGCAGAAACAATCCAGAGTACCATTGGCAAACTCTAGTTTCAAGGATGAAAATAGTAGGGAAAAATCGACTCACCGTAATCAGGACGAATGACAGCTTGCACGGCTTGCTCGTTCTTCTTGCTGCGTATGACCGGCTCGCCGAGGATTGTGAAGTTCCTGGGTCCCACGCGGTTCACAAACACAAGATACACTTTACCCCGCTTGATATTGGCCCTAACCACTCCGGCACCACTAAAATCTCCCGTTTTTTCCTGCTGGCCTCCTCCTCCAGTAGTTCCCCTGGCGACGGCCTCCTGGCCGCATAGCGTCGACTTGCCCGGCGCGGCCTTGTCGCGAAAGTGCAGCCGCACGCTGTCGTTCTTCTGCAGGGGCAGGAAGCCCGGCTGGCTCTTGTACACCTGGCGCACCTCGAAGGTCACCGCGTAGTTCGAGCCCGGCTTCCGCGCCGAGGACATGCTCCGGGCCTTGCCCTCGAACACCGTGGGCGCGAGGTACGCCCGATTGGCCACGTCCATGTCCGGGCACCACTCCCTGCCCCGGCAATTGTTCCTCACCCGGCAGCGCCTACGCTGCTCCCGAGGCGACTCGCTCCTCGTCCGGTTCCTCACGCCCGGCCGCTGCTGTTGGCTCGCCGGGGCCTTGCCACCACCGTGACTCACACCCATCGGCGATCTAACTCGCCTCGACGAATCCACCGACTCGTTCGCGTAGCGCTGGCCGATCGGCATCTCACCGGTGTCCATGTGCCTGCGCCGCCTCAGCCAGCTCTGCCCCCTCGCCCCGTCCTTTTCGCCTCCACTGCCACCCCCGCTGTCGTAGTAGTAGTGGGCCCTGGTGTCCCGTTGGGCCTGTCCGGGCGACCGGCTCCAGTGGAAGGGCTCGGGCCGGTCCGAGCGCATCGGGGACGAGGACGCGGATAGGACGGCCCACCAGCCGCTGAGGAGACCGGCCAGGAGCAACCACGACCGCCACATGGCAGCCTTGTGGGAGGGGGGGAAACTGTAGTCGCGACTAGGGTCGTGGATGGGTGGACGGACGGTGTAGCGATTCCCTTGTCGGTGCGCTCGCTTCGCCGCGACGGCCCATTCACGAGGCGTTATCGGGCAGCTGTAGTAGTAGTAGTAGCGGGACTCGCCGGCCGGGCTGCTGGCGGTTGAGGTCTCGGGGTGGTCCCGCCGGCTTGCCGCTTCTGCTTCTGATCCCGCGGAGCGCCACCGGCCTGCGCCTCATTTTGCCCCCGTCGTCCCCGCTGCCCGCCCTCTTTCGTTCGACTAACTGCAATTATCATCCATCCACCTCGTACGTGTCCTAGAATGGCTCCTTATTGGTTATTTATCGCAGTGCGACCTCGACGGCCCCGAGCGGTGGCTGCCAGCGCCCGGCCGAGCACAATCGAGCCGTCACAGGCTGCCGCGACGGCACAACCGGAAGAGTCCGCGTCGGCCCCGTCGTCGTTCCCTCGCGGCCGACTCGCTCCGGTAGCATCATATACGCGCCGTGCACGCGCCGATAACAATACCCTTTATGGTCTCTCGCGCGCGCACCGTCTCCTCCTCCTCCTCCTCCTCTGTTCCTTTATGTTATTCTGCGTCGGTGCTCTGTTTACCCTTCTTCGGCTGCGGGCTTCTCACGGCTCAAACGGTACACCAACTATGGCTACTTTCAATACACGTGTGTATATCCACACGCCACAGCTGGGAACGGAATATTGACAATGATGTCGCTGATAAAAAGCCTTTCAGGCGGCGATGTTTAAATGTCCCGCGTCTAGAGCTGCCGATACCGCTGACGCGCGGCACACGTGCTCCTCGTCCTCTTATCCTCGCCCATACTTTATACACGTGGGTGTATGTTGTTGTTGTTGGCGGTGCTGGTAGTCTTTTCTTCTGGATCTTCGTTAAACAGGTATTAAATGAAAAACTTTAACACGCGAGTAACTACACAACGTTTTGCGCTCTTTCCGACAACTTTGTACGGGCATTGGCGCGTATCGTGTTACATGGCACACTTGCGAAGTCATGAATCGAGAAAGAAGAGAGTGAGTATGAGGTAAAAACTGCACATTGGTTATTGAAATGGAGAAAAAGAAGAAGAAGAAGAAAAAAAAAAAAAGAAAAAAAAAAGAAAAGAAATCAGGGGTGGTGGGTGAACCGCACCACCGGCAAACTACCGGCACTTGTACTCCAAATTAGCACACGACGGGCACAACGAGAGACAACCCATTATACGTAACATGTACACAATGACCGTAGACCATACGCGCGTACAATATACCAATATATGTGTACCCATATGATATGTATAATAGTAACGACGCGCTGCACGATATGAGGAAGGCTCGGGCGCGCGCGGCGGTTCAAATTAGACTGAGCGGCCCGCTCGCTTACGGCCGAGACCGGCCACGCCGGCAGCGCCTGGCGCGGTAACCGCGAGAACCTCTGCGCGCGCACCAGCCAGCCCCGCGTCATATAGAGTATAGCATTTATTATATAGGCGTGTATATACCATTCAACACACACGCGCCGTAGAGTAAAGCTTAAAGCAAAGCAAATATATGTGTATATAGCAAAAGTAGTAGTAGTAGTGTAGCGTAACGCAACGTAGTACGGCGTAGCGTACAGGATAGTCACAGAGGGATGCGGCTCTCTTTTTTGGCTGTACCGTAAATAGGGGGCAACTGCAAGCCTAGTCTTGCGTTTATTTCTGCAGCAGGGCTCTCCCTCTACCAAATATATATATAATAGCCTAGACGCATATTGCCCCGAGAGAGGAACACACGGAGGCTAGACCACGCGTGTATAATGTACAAGCAGCCGGCCTCTCCCTTCCGTCCTATCTGTGGGCTCTCTTTCGCCCCGGCTCTGCGCTCTTTTTTTTTTTTTTTTTTTTCCTTCAACGCGAGCATAGGGAGCGCGTGTCTCCTCGCCCCACTTTCTTCCGTACGAGCCATAAGTGCCCCATACCCGCGGTACGTCGTCTTGGTCTTGCTCGGCGCGCCGCGCTCCCTCCCTCCCTTTCTTCCTTTTGTCCCAGCCCGGGTGCCACTTTCTTCCTCCACCCCCTTTTCCCCTCGAGGGCCACGCTTTTTGATTCCTCTTTCTCTCCCTCCCTATATACGTCACATGCGTGCGCCCTTTGATTTGTGTGTGGGAGAGGGCTCAAGGAGGTATGGGTGATGCAGTATACACCACTAAAAGAGGAGGGAATAAGAGCCTATACCCACACCGGCCGGGGGCTTATCTGATGGGGCTGTCGCGTGTTCGCACTTTAGCTGGCGATTCGCGCGGCTGCTTTTTATCGGGGCCAAAAGGGAGAGAGTTGTACGTTTTAATTTACCTTATTTCCTGGGTGTAACACGATTGCCGGGGGAGTTGGGGTATAGGTATGAAGTACGGCGGTATAGCGGGGTCAAGCGATCACTGCTTGTAATCAACTCTCCCGGTGAGTAGCGAGTACTTTTTTTGGTGGACGAGTATGTGCTTATTTGTATATAGGGTGGATACTAGTGTATTTTATCGATGGATGGGGCTGCGCTGTTTTGCCCCGAAGTAGATAAAAAAGGGGTGGGTGTAACAGTCGGGGAGGGGAAAACCCATTTTCTCGAGACTAATTGTGCAATCGAATGAATTGGAGAATAAAGTAGAAGAGGGTAGGGGCTGTCGTGCACGCGAATATATTCGGAGGCAATAAAAATATAGAGGCATTACATTATATGCGGTGGCAGACGCGATTCTCGTGAATTCGATTCGATTCGGAGAGCACAAGCGAAGGAAAGACGGATTTTTCCATGCGAGGTATTAACGCAAAGTATATACCTATTCGCGAATCAATTTGATGGTTGTTCTCTATAAACCAATGGATTATCTCTCCATCCCTTTGGGCGTGTGGGCTTATCGTGCACAAATCGAAACAATTAAAGAAATCCGTCCACGTGAAGAATAACATTTTTGACCCAATATGTTACCGATTGCGAGTCTTGGTATTACGATTTCAAGTTCAGTTTTCCATCAAATCGATCCTAATTATTGTAACACCGTTTGACAGACGATGAAGAAAAGAAAGAGAAAAAAAAAAGGTAAGGGGCGTACGCGAGCAACTGTGCACACATGAAAATTATAAAACGATTTCAGGGGCTTTGGGAGCGCGAAAAATGAAAGAGCGACGAAGGGAGAGGGAAGGAAGGAAGGAAGGAAGGAAGGAAGGATCTCTCGGACCTTTTTGGATAATACACACGTCCAGAGACAGGAGAAAAAGAACGAGGGAGCTGAGCGGGGGGGGGGAGAGAGAGAGGAAGTATTATACAGGCAAGATGACCGAACGAGATTCTCGTTCACACCCGGCGAGCACACACACACACCTCGGTAAACATAGAGTTGCGCCCGAGTTTGGTACCCCGTGGTGAATTTGAAAACGGCGTGGTAAAAGAGACAGTTTAGAGCCATTAGAAGGGTATTTATGGATCGGCCGACGGGCTAACGCACTGCAACGTGTGCCTATACGTGTGTATATATATGCCTTTTGCCCACGCACGCACCAGAGCGCACATAATATATAACGAGCGCGTGTGTGTATATATATGTATATATATAATATATGGGCGAGAAAAGCCACGCACCGGCATCAGCAGTATAATTTTGAGGGACACGGTTTTAGCTCGGGAAAGCCGATGGGACTGCGTTTTGAAGGAATTTCCGATTTTTTCAACCTTTTTTTTTTTCAGGAAAAATGCAAAAATGCAGCCACGTCGACAGCGTACATTTTTGTTGGATAAACAATCACTTCGATGAGCATACTCTGGAGATGATTGTTTACAATGAAAAAAATCGACAATATTATTGGAGCTCTCTGTCGAGTGTTGCGATTTAAAGTCAAATTCGATACTTCCAGCCGGGGATGCGCATGATGAATTGCTGCGTAATCAAATAACGTGTAACGATACAGCTTTTTTCTTTCTTTTTTTTTTTTTAATTCTGCTTCATGCTCATATTTTTCAACTCCGTTTCCAACGTTACACATCAATGCAATCGTTTTAAACTGTCAATAAATGAGCCAATCATCGAATGGGACTTTCGTAGCGAAAAAAAAAAGATTAAAACTGTTGAAAAACACTCGGGGCGAAATGAAAAATTTTGTAGCAGCGAAGGGAGAAACGAAAATGTGTTGTAGTCCAGAATAAAAAACACCCGAGCGCACGGGACACGGGTTAAAGATGCAACTCGACCGAAGGAGTAAAAAAAAAAAAAAAAAAAAAAGGGCCAAGTAAAGGGGGCCCAGGCGGCAGACTCTATACAGTGTACATTCGTCGGGGGATGGTATCGGAGGGCGAAAGGTAAAAGCACTGCAACGCCGTGGTATACAACGTTTGCTGCAAAGGCAGGAGGAGGGTATAGGGTGGCAGCCTCTCCTTGCCTCCTCCCTTTTCTTTATTCCCGACTATTCATACACGGCTACGTGGCTGGCACGCGACTTACATTATGCATGTTAACCTACACTGTTCTCTCTTTCTTTCCTTCATATTTCCGAAATTTCGGTCTTATGGAATAATATCAGCTGCGAGCTCCAACGACCCATATTTTGTGCATTTATAAGCGTCGACGATTAAATTTCATGAGACCTCGCCAAAGGGACGTATAGGAAGGTTTTCAATCGGATTCCTTGGATATGTCCCTGCTTTGAACCTCGAATATCATAAATAATGCGGCAATGGGTTGTCGATGCGGTGCCAGTACTGACTGAGGAGTTTCAATTTTTAATGTATCATCGAAATTGGTATTTTTCCCGATGGAAAGTGGGACTCTCTCATATTTCTAAACAAACAACCCGTACACCCGGTTACACCCGCGTGAAAAAGGCAAAGTGAAGAAAAAAAAAATGCCCATCGACCGACTTCGGATACTCGCAGCTGGTTCGCAAAACTCCAGCATACTGAGGAATATAGATCCGGAAACGGGCAAGATCCAAAGAGAGACGAATAATATCTGTATAAAGGGGCGTCTCGTCGCACCCCAACAATAGCGGCCTTACAGCGAAAAGTAGCGTTTTTACCACGTGC